AACTCTGGGCCTGGGCGCTGTCCCTCAGCTCTTCAGCTCAAGGCTAGTGCTCTACCACTTGAGCCACAGCGCCACTTCCGGCTTTTTTCTTATGTGGTGCTGAGGAATCGAACCCAGGGCCTCGTGCATGCAAGGCAAGCACTCTACCACTGAGCCACCTTCCCAGCCCCTCTTTGAGATCTTTTTAAGAAAGTAAATTAGTTCAATGTTGGATCCCTTGTCCAGATCCATCCATGGCTTGCTTTATAAGGTTCACTGTTCACAATATGCCTAACTTCCTCCTAAATACAGCATTTAAATTCACTTCCTGGTTAATAATATTTAAATAGTCAACTATAATGTTCCTGTTTTCTACTTCTACAAGGTTGGTTGATAGTTATCTGAACTGATGTTCTTTGTTCACTGCAGAAGTATCGATGACTTTTTCAAAACTAAAACATTTAATATCACTGGCTTTAGTCTGTGGGCTGAAGTGAAAAGTTTCACAGGTAAGGTAGGTATGTAGTTTTGTAGAAAAATGACATTTTTTTTAACAACTACACATTCTCTGTGTGAAAATAAGTCCTCAAAGAGGGTATTATTTTCTCTGTGAAGCCAGGTAATTGTGTTTGTAGAGGGAGTATTTATAGAGAAGTTTGTCCTCAAAAACCTGGACTCTTGAATAAATACTAATTAAATTATCTCTTCACACATATTTTCTGATTAAATACGAATAGTGCTTTTGTGCTGGAAAGAAATGTGCCCTTGGAGAAATGGCCAATTCCTTTTGACAGTACTGTTGCTTCTTGCTATGTTACAAAAAGATGACATGTTCTCATCTCATTGGCACTGGGTATAAGGCATCTTATGGGACTCAGGCTTTCTCATTTTGTCATGAAGATCGTGCAAGGCAGAATTAAAATTAGTCTTGAGGTTTGTGTCTGGATCCTACAGCATATACCTGTCTTTATTTTTCTACTTTCTGCTTTTCTCCTTTTTTGTCGTCATTGTCTTCAACTTAGGGCCTTGGCACTGTTCCTGAAGTTCTTTTGCTCAAGGCCAGTATTCAACCACTTGACCCACAGCACTACTTCTGGCTTTTTACTGAGGAATTGAACCCGTGGCTTCATGCATGGATTCAAGCAGTCTACCATTAAGTCCATTCTTATCCCTTCCCTGAGCTTTTTTTTTTCTCAAGACTAGCTCTCTACAACTTTGCACAGATCTACTTCTATTTTTTAGGTGGCTAATTGGAGATAAAGAGTCTCACAACCTTTCCTGCCTGGGCTGGCATTGAACCGCAATCCTAAGATCTCAGCCTCCTAAGTAGCAAGGAGTAATTACAGCTTCTGCTTCTATTGTTATGTTTGCTCCTACCCTCTCTTTTCACTTTGCCTCCTATAATCAAAGCTGAATCATGTAGATATGTTTTTGTTCAACATTACAGCATTATACTTAGATATTCAAGTGGCAGGACTAGGCAGGAAGTCTTCTGAGGTGTGGGCCTAAAGGCTTAGTTGAGGTTAAATCAACTTTCTGGCAAGAATACTTCCTTGGTCTCTCTGTGTGCTTTGTACTCTATCCCATATGGACCTTAGTTTAAAGGCTTGGATTATTTAGATTCTTATTAGTAGTCTATGCATTGGTCATTCATCTATCTAAGCTCTGTAGTTTTGTTTTTTTTTAAGAAGATAAGGTATCTGTGTTGCCTAAGATTAGTTAAGCATTTATAGGCTCAAGACATCCTCCTGTCTCAGTGAATATGGGTACAGACTACTATACCTAGCTTATTCATCTAGTTATATAACGTTTTATAGTAATAGCCA